TAGCGTGTTTTATACGGAAATCTGTTTTATCGTTGGACTTAAAATAAAAATGAATAACACTGGTTTTTTATTCATTCCATTTTAACGTAGTAAAAGCTGTAGTCATTTATAAATTCAGAACCGATATGAAACGGACGTAGTGCGCAAATGCTCTGTCAATGGGGTTCGGGTGCTACTGAGGAGTGATCAAGACCAAAGGAAGTGTACTTACAGTTTATTTAAATGACAATATATAGCTACAACGCAAAAAAGCAACAATGACAATAACAAAGAAAAAGCAAGTACATTTGAATTCAAAATCTAAAACTAAACTGCTAAAAAGGCTATAATATAAAATATAATGTACAAAAAATTAGCTACAGTCGTCCTTATCATTCTCAGTGACAATGAACAAACCCCTTGCGAACTGTGTTTTGGTCTATCTTAAGTGTAAACACTAGAAGCTCGTACTCAGTCATACTTATGTTTTGATCGATACAAAAATAGTCGGAATGTTATTATCTACGTCACTCAATTATCCCTGTTATGTTTAATTAATCACTGATTTAATAGTAAATCGTTTTTTGCACACCTCTATCTACTTAATCTATGAATTTGATACGTTTCCCTCGATAAACATACTTAAATCATGAGATAGATACGTTATCATTCAATCATTGTTCTTGAGTTCGCATGTAATAGTTCAGATTTGAATGAAAGTTTGAACGAAAAGTTAGACGGCAATAATACTACAATAAATTATCTTAGAACAGAAAATACGAAAAATAAATGAAGTCTTCTGCTTTTAACACATCTTGTTATCTCATCGAGAGTGACGCCCTGGGGTATGGTGCTCAGGAGGACGCCAATGATTGAATGGCTAAGCTTATTCATATGGTTAAGATTATAGCAGGATTTAATTCCGCTTTCCCCTTTCATCATCGGGTCTACATCATTGTTGTGGATATTCCAAAGAGTCGCACGAAGCGTTACGTATCCACATATACATGGCAAACGGTTATGGACTGGAATTCCGTGCCAGCAGATTTATTCCCTGAACGCTATAACTTGGGTCTTTTCAATGCGAGAGTGAATAGGCATTATTTAGGTGTGCATGCACTACCATCGACTTATCGTCACTTTTCATCAGGTGAGACGGAAGTGAAATGCGCACTTATTTTTTGTGGCCTCCATTGACTTATTTACTGGATATAAATATATAATCTTAGTTAATACATAAGATCGTATTCGGATGGAAATTTTACAGATGAAGTAGGGACAACTCAATCTGTGGCCAAGAAGTGGTTGTAGAGAGTCGCAGACGTCAGGCGGCTAGATAGACAATATTGAGATTGTCTGGGACGCACATGATTGAAACCAACAACGGAAAGTCTGTGCTGTCCACAAATTCTTTAAAGTATGTTGTCATGTTAATGAAAAAGTTGTGGCGAAATCTGCATGTAAACAATGTACGAGGACGTTCATAAAGACTAAGTATAATATAAAACTAAATTAAAATGAAAAACTCCGATGCAAAACAGCGAACTCTAAAACTCAATGAAGTCGCCATCTATGTATTACTCGTCGAGACTAATCCAATAGGTACAAGTGCGGTTGTTTTATTAAAGTTAGTTTCAAAAAGTTCAGTCTTGTGTCCATCTTCTAGCTTTATTATCAAAGAATCTAGGGAGTCACCATAACTACTCGTCAAGACCAAATGAGCCCAAATACGATTGTTGTATTGTAAGTAGTCGACGAGTTGAGTAGTCCGCAGACTATTCTGGTTACAGCATCTGATCAAGGTTACTATACCATTGCAGTTTCATCGGATTTACATAGTAAGCCAAATTTCAAGTAGATCGGGCGAGTGGAAGTATTAACGTTAACATTCAATTTATGGCTGAGAATCCAGGGAAAAGAGCTAACGATGTTTAAACAGCTTAGCACTGACTTTTATCAAACACAGCTAACCCATCTCAATGAAATTAGCTTTCAAGTAAAAAAGGCAGTTCTGAGATCAGCCCTTCCGTTTCGAATATACTATGCCACTGATAAACATTCTGACATATGTATATACCGACGAAGGCTTGAAACTAATAGCTCCCCTCTTTTTGTATCTGGGGTTAGTTAAAAAAGAAACAACAATTCACTTGATTAACCCATTTTCCTTAATTACGATCCAAATTAAAATGCGCAGTTAGTACTAACAAACGAAAACACGAAGCAAAATGTACTATGAAATTGTACCATCACATCGCAGCAAAAAAAAAACAGATGGTATAACAGTTCAGGCCTTTGAGAAAATAAATTACGATAATTGTTAAAATAGGTACTATAATTGAGTCTGTAAAGTTTTATTTTGCGAGGAGGGTTTGGTTGTGTAAGATGCAAGAGAATGGGAACGAAACTATTATGAGAAATCCATTCTTCTACTAAATGAAACAACAGCAGGTACCAAAATTAAAGATATTTCGGGCTCTCTATCCATAAAATGTTGGTTTAGGCGCCAAATTGCCGTTTCGATATTTTAGCCTAACTTCAAGTGAAACACGCAAACTATCCAGACTTTTAGGGGGAATATCGTGCTTTTAATGCTCGTGAGTGGTACTACATATCCACCCCCAAGCATTCAATATGTGCGTGGAGGTCATCAACGTCATAAGCCCGATCTATGATTTTATCAACGATAAAAAACTCATCAGTCAAAATTTGCAATGCGAATCCGGTTGTTTCAGCTGGCGAATATGTAAAACGATAAGACTGTTTATTTAGGTTCCAATGAACTTTTCTAATTTCGAAAAAAAATGTACGAGAAAAGTGATGGTTGGTATGTTTTTGTTTCAACTACGAATCATGCGGATTCGAGGACTATTTTGCTGTGTGTCTTGTTTTCTTTCATTTCTATTTTCACTTAGAGAGAAACCTCTAGCGATCATCTTTGTCTCGTGTATTTGTAATTGTAATATTGTCACGATAGTATGAAATGAATGATTTTGTTCCATCCTAATGTACAGACAGTAAGAAAAAAGTCTCATTCTCGAACTTACCTTTTTGAAATCACAACAGCAAACAATTTTAGCAAACTTTGTAATGGTAAAAATTTGTGAAATGTACTTTCTTTAACTATGTAATGTGAACATAACACGTATTTGTATAAATTGATATAATTTCATTATTATCTCGTTTAAATTGTTTGTTATGATATGTAGTATCTCCAGCTTTAGTTGTCGCGCCTTTCTGTACGTCCAGGTATAAATGGTAAAAGAAAATGGTTAAGGGCACCAGTTTGTTTTGTGCTTTCTTTAGTTAAGCGTTCTGGTTAGTTATTAACAAATAGGTTTGTAAATGTCGATTTGTAGGTAGTTTTAGTGTGCACCTTTAAACAAACATTAAAGAAATATTTAGTAATAAATAATTTTGCTATAAATTATTGCCATTCTAGTTACTTTAAACGCTATTGAGTAATGCAAAATGCAAATTAAGTTGTCAACCTATTATACGTCCTAGTGGGCATAAGCCTAATAATAATTCCTCAAAGCTTTTACCATCCACCAGATTTTGTGCTGTCAGTGGCCTTATGTACGTAGGGAGCACTATAAGTTTCCGGAATGAATAAGAAAAAAATACTATAAATTGTCAGAAATGAATTCAAAATGTTATCTGTTAGCGTTAATGCATTTTTTCATACGAATGAACCAATTTTGAAAACATTTATGCCACTCCTCCGTGACAATTTTTGAAACATATTTTTCATACTCTTCGACAGCTCTTCAGGTGATTAAAATCGTTGACCGCGTAACTGGGTTTTAAATTTTGAAAATAAATAAAAGTCCACAAGGTGTCAGGTTGGGATGTACGCGGGATGGCTCATAAGGTCAACGTTGTTCACCTCCAAAAATTCATTTCTGGCCGTGTGAGAACTGGCATTACCGTGGCGCAAGATGATACGGCGTTTACGGTTATTTTTACGGAGTTTGTCAATAACAAATGATCCTGTACCAATCACTATTCACGGTACAATGATCCTCTAAAGCAACAGTAGCCACGTGTCCAGTTTTATTAAAAAAAGAAGCAATCATCCGCTTAGAGGCACTTTGCACGCGTGCCACTTTGGTTGGTTTCGGCTCATCTCGAAAGACCCATACGCTCGATTGCTGCTTTGTTTTGGGATCGTAACTATAAATCCATATTTCGCCACCTGTTACTATGTCCCACACCAAATTTGACGCCCCTTCGTTGAATCTGGTAAGCATGGCATTGCACTAAGTGACGCGATCCGTTTTTTGAACCTCAGTCAAATTGTGTATAGTCCATCGACAGCACAGCTTTTTCACACCCAAATGTTTGTTTAGTATTGATTGTATTTGACTCATGCCTGTCTGTTTTGATCATAATGCGCACAGCATCGATGTTTTTGTTGTTTACAGCAGTGGACGGGCGACCATCATGAAATTCGTCACTGAGATTCACACGACCACGTTTGAATTTTGCAAACCAGCTGTGAATAATCGTCTTGCATGGTGATTTATCTCCAAAGCAGTTTGAAGCCAAGCGAAGCTCCGCTGAGCAGTTCTCTTACACTTAAAGTCGTAGAAAATCATACTACGAAAATTTTCACGAGTTATAACCATAATGTTGTAGACAACCAATTTCTAAAATAACGCCACAATGTAAAAACGAGTGACAGTCAGATGAAACAAACGGTATTCTACAGCCAAAGAGTTCCATTTTCAAATGTTGGAATTACTTTTTAAATGTTGTTTATGTAAGGGGCCAGTACCGGAAACTTGTAGTGCGCCCTATGTATATATAGTGTGCGAAGCCTAATTTCTGTATTTTATTTTTTAGTCAAAAACATCAAACACACAGTAATGACAATTTATTTATTACACAGTTTCTAGTCCTCGTACTCGTAGTTTTGGTCTGATCATCAATCATAAAAGGATTAATAGCCGTCTTTGTAGAAGTTCCTGTAGGCGATAAGATTTTGACTATCAGTTCCTACTACACGGTTTATAAGACGTTCAAATGGTGCGATTTCGTTTAACATCCATCCAGAATTTCGTAGGCGACGACAATGTTTCGCGTGCTGCTACTTGTCTGCGTTGCAGGTGAGTTAGTTACTCTGTTTTTGACAATTTACTTTATTTAAAAACAATTTTTAATGTGCAATAAAGATTTAAAGTACACGTTAAATAAGTCGCTGAATACACAACTGTGCAACAAAGCTTGATTCACTTGCTTGATTCAGTTTAGTAGAAGACGAGTACCACAGCAAAGTTAAACACTTGAAATAAAATTATCAATTGCTTAAATCTTTACGTATTCATATTGAAATCTTAATTAGACTATTCTCATTATTTCAGCTTCTGTAACAACAGGAGTGCCAGTTTATGAAGCGACACCGTTAAATTCTCATATAATTGAGTTCCCCGGTGGCGATGGCCAAATGCACGTAGTGGATTTATCTGAACCCCCAGATATGGAAGTGCTGTATGAAATTCAAAGGAATCCTGCCAATAACTTGTACCTTCTGTTCACTAGGTACGGTTGTCAAAATAGGACAAATTTGGTAATATTGAGTGAAACATGAGAAACTGAAAGCCTAACTAATTAATTGAATTTACTATGTAGTTATTTAAACTACATAGTCAAATTCAATGAATTAATAATAAGCAAGTAAATAAGTATTCAGAAGAAACATGGTTGATTAAATGTAACTTTTTACAATGTTTCACGTACCCCGTGAAAACAATGACATATTATTATTAAGTTTAATTGGAAGTCGAACTATTTTATTGGATCTAATTCGCGTATACTTATATTTTCGAACAAACCAACGTTTCGGGTTATTTACAGGTCTCACAGTCACGACTGACTGTCTCATGATTTATGTCTCATTAAAAAGCCCGAAGCGTTAGTTTGTATGAAAAAAAATCAAATATGGTTTTAGATCCAAAAAAATAGTTTCATTTATAGTGTGTAGCAATCGCCAAAATCTAAGAAGGCGATTTTAAGTTTAAGTTTGAATTAATGGCATAGCAGCTCAAGTGTATTCCTCTATAATCTGACAAACAGTAGAGCTCCTTGTGAAAGAGTTCGTCCAGGGAAGTACTGCCACCTTACCTATTTCTGCCGCCAAGCAGTAATGTTAGCATTACTATGTTCCGGTTTTCAAGCGTAAGGGGTGCTGGTGAAATTACAGGCACGTGGGACTTGTCAACTTATGTCTCAGGGTGACGGGCGCAGTGGCAGTGCCCCTCAAATCTTTGCGATTTGAAGCTCTGAGTGGCATTGCAACTGTTATGGACAAGCGTGTAGCTTGCTGTCAGACACACGACTTGTTCGTCCCGTCACTTGATATTATATAAAAAAAACATGTACTCAAATTGGTGCTTGTATTCAATAACAAACTTTCAAATCAATTGACCAATGAAATTTCAGGCGAAATCCGGACACGGCTCAAACGTTGATTATGAACAACGAAGACTCTATAAGATATTCATATTACAACCCGAACCTGGAGACAGTAGTGATCGCGCACGGCTGGCTCAGCAATCAGAACACTGACATTAACGCCGCTATCAGAACAGGTAAGAGTAACCGGAATAACGATGATCTTATTCAATTATAGTAATTTCGTTGTCAAATTAATAACTACAAGATTCCATATTAAACTTGATTTTAACTTTATTTCAGTCTACCTCCAGAAAAAGGACGTCAACGTCATCGTTCTAGATTGGAGGAGACTTGCCATGTCAGGATACGTCACCGCGGCTACTGGTGTTCCCAATGTCGGCCGAGGTCTCGGACAGTTCTTACGTTTCCTAAACAGAGTTACTGGGGCGTCGTTCCGTAACATGCATCTCATTGGGTTCAGTCTTGGAGCTCACTTGGTTGGAAATGCAGGACGCGAACTTGGCGGTGACATCGCTAGAGTTACAGGTAAATATTGAAAGACTATATACTTCAATTGGTAAAAATATTCTCTTACTACACTCTTTTTGTATTTGCGCAAACGATACACGTCTTGATTATACCAGATTAGTACAACAATGTAACTAATTAATACGGCAAAGGCTGTGTTAGGTAGAGATTTGTGGAAAAAATGCCATACCAAAGTAGCGGCTACATAAATTAATTATTTTTTCTTGATAAATTGAACTGTCGACTTCCATTAAAATATTAAAATAACCATGAATGATAAGCTGAAAAGATATCGTAGGGTTGTTAAGAAAAATAAACTTTGGAAAGAACGGATAAGAATCTATTCATAATCTTGTCGGTGCATTGAAAACGTCGTTCTGTTCTCACGGAATCTTTTATATGCAATTTTTCGTTTACAGGATTGGATCCGGCAGGTCCGCTATGGCATTACAATTCTAACCGCATCAGTGCCGCAGACGCAGTCTACGTTGAAGCTATACACACCGATGGTGGAGTCTTAGGCCTTGGTATCGGTACTGAGGTTGCCCATGCTGACTTCTTTCCAAATGGAGGCAATTCCCAACCTGGTTGCTTGACCGGAATCTGTGACCATAACCGAGCCTGGGAGTTGTTTGCTTCCACAGTCACACATAATCATCTTATTGCTAATAAATGTGAAAGTTCCTGGCAACTCACATGGAATTCTTGTCGCGGAACCGATCAGTTGCCTTTGGGCAACGATGATATTAGAAAGTTTGGGTAAGTCACTTAGAAATCTATTGAAACATCTACGTCCACTTATGCTTACAGTTTTCATTAATTACAATGAATGAAGTTTTTTACTAAAATATAGGTGACAAAAATTTCTATTTCAAGCTTGACTAGATATAATTAAAGCTGTTGACACAAATCCCAGGAGTCCAGAAAAGACATCTACCTAAATCAGATCAATGTTAAATAATAGCATAAAATTGTTAATGAATTAAAATAAATAAAAAGTGTTATTTCACCTGAAAAAAATATTTCTTTCCAGAATTGGCATGTATCGAGTGAACACAGGAAGAAGATATCCGTTTTAAAGCTTTAAAAGAAGAAGAAATACGAAAGTAACTCACCTCCTAATCACCAAATTGAATGTGAACCAATACTGTGTAGCAAATTGAATCAATATTGTTTATTAAATTGGTAATATAAAAATTGTTTATAATATGTCCTTAGCAATACCTCGTTCCCATGATGTAATAAGGCCTCGTCATATATTAGAATTGTCTCTCAATACTTCTATGATGATTTTAAGGGATTTTTTAATTGAAATTATCAGTAACCCGCGTCATACACTTGTATTTATTATGTGTTTGCAACTATTTTTCTGACAAATAATAACCACTAAAAACCAGTAACATATTCTTTGTAAAAAAATATACATTAATAAACAAAGGGCTAATGAAAACGACAACAGCGTGACTGAAACACGCGCATCGGATACCAAATTACACGTGTATTTCTAAATAAATCACATACAACTATAACCGATAATGCCAGAAAAGCTTCTCAACAATTTTTCATTGTTTGTTTTAATTTCATCTTGTGTCAATGAGACTTTAGTGATCATTGGTTTGCAATAGCAATAGCTAAATGGGATAAATAAAGACCTTTCACAACCTTCAAAGATGCCAAGCATATGGCTATTTTATATAAAAAAAGAATTATAATACAATTCCATTATATGCTTTTAGGTAGGTATTAGGAAGTTACGCTTGTGGCAGTACGGTTGCACTGGTACCAAACTACAACACAAGACAGTATCTGTGTGAGATCACATTGTTAGACAAACAATTTTGCATACGGGTCTTTTTTGTGTGAAAATGGATAGATTGTAAGATAGAAAGTTTATTGTCTTGCATGACTGCATGACATGATTTAAAGAAAAACGCGCATAAATTAACATTAAAGATAAGAACATACGAACAATAACAAATTAAATTAAAATACATAAAAAAACCGAAACAATTGCGTAATAGTTGACAATGATCAAAATGCTTGTGTGTGCTGCAACAGACAAATAGGTCTTGGCTCGATGCGGAATTGGCCCAAAACGAACACTGATTATGAACCGCCACCTTCGATGGTAGTGCGTTGCAAAAACGAATACAAATTCATAATAAAATAATAGTTCAAAAATAACAATCAACTTTGGCGCAGAACATGTATCTGAAGTACTATTACTAGAGGTACATGTTTTGCGCCAAAGTTGTTTGGAAACAAAAGCAGGCCCGACTTTGATTCAATACCTGAAACTCAAACCGTAATTGACTGTCAATAATAATGTCCAATTTTTTTACCTTTACAACCCCAGCGACATCCCCATCCGCGACTTTGATTTCAGGATCTTTGTCTATATAGTATGTTGCCGACTTGTTTTTAATACCCAATACAATAAATTTTGACTTCAACTGGTTTAGAACTAGTATATTTGTAGCAAATCAATCAGCAAGTCCCTCAATTTATAATTAATAGAGTTTTCTGATTATGTATAACTGAATATCATATGTATTACAATGGTACAAATAATGTTTTATAACTCTAGGCAAATTAGCTCCGGAGAATCAGTAGTGGCCCCAGTAACGATCATTGTGATACTCCACAATTTACTGGAAGACGGGCAGATGCCGCACGGGGGCCATCACTTTTAGACAATTTGACGGCCTGCGATCGAGTACCGATGTAATTCTAAACCATTGTACGTTAGATCATTCAAGCCGTAAGTAATAGGTCATTCATTGCCGAAAGCACAACAACTTGATTAGAGTCATATTCAGCGGGTATATTGTGCATCACATCTAATGTGATGTAACGTGATCGTGCCCCTCTATCAGCCATACGACGCCCACTGCTGGGCATAGGCCTCCCCCAACGATCTCCACGACGATCGGTCCTGCGCTGCCCGCATCCATCGGCCTCCCGCGAGCTGCACCAGATCGTCGGTCCACCTGGTGGTGGGCCTACCCACTGAGGGTCGTCCGGTGCGCGGTCACCATTGAAGAACCTTTCCACCCCAACGGCCATCGGTTCTCCTAGCTATGTGCCCCGCCCACTGCCACTTCAGCTGAGCAATTCTTCGAGCTATGTCGGTTACCTTAGTTCCACGGATTTCCTCATTTCTGATTCTATCACATAGGGAAATACCGAGCATCACTCTCTCTATTGCCCGCTGAGTGACCTTCCGCCTTCTTATGAGGCCCATAGTGAAGGACCACGTTTCTGATCCATATGTGATCACTGGCAACATACACTGGTCAAAGACATATGACATGATAATGATATGTCTTGAGACACTGAGGTAATTTGGACGCAAAGATTTTTTGTAGTTTCCCGAACGCTGCCCATCCGAGCTGGATTCGACGAGAGATCTCTTTCTTAAAGTTGGACTTACCTAACTGGACTGTCTGCCCCAGGTATACGTAATGGTCAACAATTTCGAGTGTAATGCTCCCAAGTTTAACTGGAGCCGGTACAACATGGACATTCGACATGATCCTCGTCTTGTCCATGTTCAACTTAAGACCCATTCTTTAGGAAACACTACTGAGATCTTCGAGCATTGTGTTCAGGTCTCCCAAGGTCTCAGCCATAAGAACTATATCATCGCCAAATCGAAGGTGTGTTAAGTACTCGCCATTGATGTTGATGCCAAGTCCTTTCCAGTCCAGAAGCTTGAAAATATCTTCCAACGCAGCAGTGAACATTTTCGGAGATATCACATCTCCCTGTTTCACGCCTCATTGCAGTTGGATAGGATTAGAGCTCTGATCCTGTAATCGTACTGATATAGTGGTGTTTTTGTATAAGTACCTTAACACTTCTAAATATCTATAGTCTATTTGGGACCTTTGGAGAGACTGCATTACCGCCCAGGTCTCGATCGAATCAAAGGCCTACTCATAGTCCACAAACGCTAAGCAAAGTGGCCGGTTATACTCCTCGGTCTTCTGTATAACCTGTCGCAGCGTATGGATGTAGTCTATGGTACTAAAACCCTTTCGGAAACCGGCTTGTTCGGGAGGTTGGAAGTCGTCAAACCTGCGAGAGAGACGATTCGTGATAACTCTCGAAAACAACTTATAGATATGGCTCAGAAGCGAGACTGGGCGATAGTTCTTCAAGAGTGTTTTATCACCCTTTTTGAAGAACAGAACGACCTCGCTTCTGCCCCATGCCTTCGGCGTTTGACCTTCGACGATGACAGAATTAAAAAGCTTCTGGCTGCCCGCTCTCAGAAGTTCTGTAGTGATTCCATCATCGCCGGCCGCTTTGTAGTTCTTGAGTTGTTTGAGAGCCGTACTAATCTCATACAGGCTGACCTCCGGGATATCTTCGGTATAATGTCGGGTAAGCTTGGCTCTGGGGTCTTTAACCTCGCTTTCAACAGGTGCTTTCGTGATCGTGGCTCTACCATTATGAAATCTTGACTGAAGAGCAGAAATAATGTTATTTTAGCTTCAATTAATTTTTATACACCAACTGAAAGTAAACTCCTGCTTAGTAGTAAGTAAATACGAATGCCAGGATGCTTATGGGTCTAAGATTTTGAAGTTTGATAGCATCATTAACTTCAGGGAGTGACGTAACTGACGCTTGCTTTGACTGGTTAATGACAACACGAGTTATGATTGACCTATTTATTATGTTGATTATAAAACCGAATTACGCGGCAATGCAACATTTTATATTTTATTCCTTTTTTATTTATTTTTGTCAGAAATTATTAAAAATAGAATACTGAAAATTTTGGCAATGATCAGGAGTTGAAATAGGGATTTACTTATATAGTCAGCTATTGGACATTATAATTAACACCAGATGCAATTTATGCGCATACTTTGAAATTAGGTTAGTCGGCAATTTTGTTACGAAATCAAGTCACGTTAATCGGTGTATATACTTACTTGTACTACCATGGGTTAGAATACGAAATAAATAAAAGTGATTCATCGGATTTTACTTACCCTAAATGCATTCTATATTGTGCATTATAACAGAACGGGGGCAAATTTAAGACACCTATTTCAAATAAAAATGTCTTTGAAGGAGATATAAAACCTTGCACATGGCCTAATAGTGTTACTAGGTGTCCCAAAGTGTGCACAATGTTCTGATTATTGATCAGAACTTGTCGTGTAAAATCAAAGTATTTTGCGAAGTATGACGATTATGAAAGTCATTGCGTATCAGGTGATTTGTTTCGATAACATGAGATCAAGTAGGATTAAAAGATAAAGGTATGTAAGAGATACCATGTGTGGTTTATAAGGAACGATTATTGAAATTGAACTAAGTCTTCTGCAGTTTTCAACACAATGATCAAATTCGCGGTGCTTCTTTTCGTCGCGGCGGGTAAGTTTTTCTAGTCTTATTTTTGCTATTATTTTCCTACTACTAGTTTATTAATTTGATAGCGTAGTTAAAAATATTTCACTTCTACTTTTTCCTATTTATTAGTGCGTTGAAGTAGGTAAATTATCATTACACTACTTTATTACAGCCTACGTCGTTAGCGCGGTACCAATAGAGGGTAAAGACTACCCTCGGTACATACAGTTCCCTGATGGAGATGGCAATCTCCATGATGTGGACTTGGAAGCTGAACCTGATTATGAGCTGCTTCAAGAAATTCAAAGGAACCCAGCCAACAATTTGTATCTTTTGTTCACTAGGTAAGTATATATAATTACGATTTATAAAGTGAAATAAAAATTACTAATAAGCAATTAATATGAAGTTTTAATCGCTTTGATATCCCTACTAAAACACTATAGATCGTTGTAACAGTTAATAGGTATTTGTTTTGAAATGTAGTAAATGTATGACTTAAGAAATATATAAACTTAATTACAATTGAATTTCGTAACTTTTCAGAGCCAACCCGACTAGCTCCCAGACTCTGGTCATGAATGATGGCAACTCCATCAGGAATTCTAATTTCAACCGTAACAGAGTCACAGTTGTGGTTGTCCACGGTTGGCTCAGCAATCAGGAAACTGACATCAACCCAGCCGTCAGGGATGGTATGACTTTTTCTAAAATTGTATCATTCAACATGTTGCAACTTTATGAGAGGTTTTTCTATATTTTCTATACATTGTCTATTATAGCTGTTCTTGGCCGCTATGACGCTAATGTCATCGTCATGG